ACAAAAGTCAATTGCTTGGGTACCTTTGTCCTATTCGTGTTTCTACCGTGAAGAAGTTGTGTTTGCATGGCTGTGTTTCGGTTTGAAGGGTGGGATATGGCGAGAATTCACAGGGTACAGAGGAATAACACCTAAGTCCTCAGGAATGGCAACGCATGGGGGGTATCATGGTCGAAACAGTAAATATTCACTCAAAAAAAAATATATATATATTATATAAGAATAGAATAGAAAACATTTATTGCCAGTGAACACACAATCACAATAGAAAATATAGAAAATACATATACAAGAAGTGTCCCATACTAGGCAAAAGGAACCGACTCAGCTGATGCTGTGAGCGTCCCAGCGCAATATGAACCAGCTATTCTCTTAACAAAATACAATAAAAATGCAAAGTATCACTGCAATTGTCTGCAATATAATAGTGCGCCACCTATCCTTTGTCTTTTTCCTCAATGTCCTCTACCCAAAGGTTGTCTGGAAGAGATTGCTTAGCGATAAGGCCGCCATTTGTATCACTTCTCATTTAAATTAACTGCATTTATTATTTTTATAAATGGTGCAATAAAGTGTAAATAAATAAAATAATACATATGTTGCTATATGAAAAATACTAGTAATATTCCGCGGCTTTGCTCGTGCTTGTATTATGATGTTAATAGTGTGATAATGTTTCTAAAGAAATGAGCTATCAAATGCAAAAAGAAACTTTCAAGTTCAATTGGTGGTTTCAGAGATTAGCATCTGCAAATAAACATACTCTTCAGTTTTAGTTTTATATTAGTAATAGATTAGTTGACATCTACGGTTTTGTTTGCGTTCTTTTACTGAGATCCGTAAAGCAGTATTATATTTTCACCAACTACTCATATTAAGTAACTATATAATAGTTATTATTACTCGCTGTAACATCGTGTGGTCCCGGCATAGAATAGGCCATCCCCTTTTTTTCTGTAGATGTCACAAGAGGCGACAGAGGGATGTTAGAAGTGAAATAAAACACATTCAGATTTCTTTCAATTTTTTGCTTCTCTGTCTGACTGTTTGTACGGGCTAATCTATAAAACTGTTATACCGATTTAAATGAAATTTTACATGGTGGTACCTTACATTTCCGGTCAATATTTTACATACTTTTATTCACGGAAAATAAAGAGTTCTCGTGGGATAGTTAAACAATTATAATAACTTATACAGCTTAGTACACAACCTAAATTATAAAAAAAAAAAAACTTAAGTCACTTTGACCTGGGTCAAAGAGTGAGAACAACACGTCATTTGTTTTGGTCAATTTTCGTCCAGTATTCCCAGACATAAAAAATTGGTAGGTACATACATTGTTATATACTAAAAAGGAATAACAAATACCACGCGAACGAAGTCGCGGGTATCAGCTAGTTTATAATATTGGTAGAAAAATCTCTATGTGGCATTATATATATACTATTTTTAAACTGTGCTCCTATGTAAATCATGTTATACTTTTTTTTTATCCATTTACCACAAAGGTCAATCACATGGGTCACGTTATTATGTTTTCTCGCCAGTAAAATCTGGTATCATAATTTATTATAAATGTGAAAGTGAGTTTGTTTGTATGTGTCTCTTAACGTCTGAACTTTAATTTTAGAAATTTGGAACGAAGAAGGATATGAAGTCATTTACATTTCTGTTTTGTCAAAGGTTGACTAGGAGAGAATGTTATTATAGCATGAAGTCCGCCTTTTGTACCAGAGTTTTTTTTATGCAACTTCGAATGGCAAACAAGCTGACGGCCCACCTGATGGAAAGTGATAACCGTCGCATATAGATATGAGCAGTACCATGGACATACGAGAATATACTGTGTCAGCCATCATACCCCTCATGTGGGATCGTTTCCGAGGACTAGGATAATATGCCTCTGTAATCTATATTTTCATTGTCATATCCCACACTTCTTACAGAAACACAACCATGCAAACATTATTCCTTGCAAACAATTTATGTAAAAAGTCTCTCCTGATAAACATAGTGGTAGTATTACTTTAACAACATAATGTATACATACATACATATCTGTCACGACTGTCTCCCATTAGGGTAGGCAGAAACAATGGAACGCCAAATGCTTCGATTCAAACAAACCTGTGTATAATTCAAACAATATGTATAATAGTAACAATTGGAGAAAGAGATTTTCAATGATAAAGTTTAACAGCTCTATATTCTAACAGGTCGACCTCCTCGCGGTAACCCCTGGAAACTATTGTAGTTTCCGTTATTATTATTATGAATTTCTGGTGAATTTCGGACAGAATGATCTGACTTAATTTTCCCATCATTTACTAGTACCCTACGAATGATCACTGACTAGACGCTATGTTATATTAAAAATTATAGATTACTAGTTTTTATTTATTTATTTATTCTTTATCGATTAGACCACATTAAAAAAAATGTCTAGTACAAAAGGCGGACTTAATACTAACATATATAGCATTATCTCCCAGTCAACCTTAGCCAAAACAGAAATTTAAAATTTTTCGCGACTTTGTCTCTTTGTCTTTTGTTGGTATCTTTACTGGCCGGGATAAATATTAGCCTTTGTCATCCCTTATAATACGTGTATACCAAATTTCATAGTGACAGCTTAAACTATTAAGATGTTATAATGTAACAAACTCAGGTTCATATTTATACCTAATATTAGTAGCCGTATGGTCCCGGCATAGAATAAGCCACCCTTCTCCTTCTCGTGGGTTTCGTAAGAGGCGACTAAGGGTAGTTAATAGTTCATAGATAGGCAAAAGCCTAACTGCGGTTATTAGGGGGGAAAGGGATTGTTAGTAATGGAGACTGAAAATCCCATTGCTAGCAATATACACAACCAGGTCGCCTCCTCGCGGTTCCCCCTGGAAACTATCATGGTTAATTCCTGATGAATTCATCATGATGGGCTAACTGGCCTGTTTTCATTCTCATCAATCACCCTTCACTGGTGTTCCGCCAGCGTATCTCGTTAGCGCAGGCGGGGTTACCATTTCATTTTCACCCATAAAAAAAAAAACCGCCTGCCAAGCGTGACATGACGATGATGATGATTATATTAAAATTAATATTATTTATTTTATTTATTTACACTTTATTATACTATTTATAAAAAAATATTCTATATCTATACTTATAATAAATCTATAGAGAGGTCAATTCTGTACATGAAATATATTTCCAAAATAACTATCAGGGGGTGATTAGTGATCGATACTGATGCCAAAAATGTAAAATTTTTGTCTGTCTGTCTGTATACTCGTTAAAGAAACAAAAATTACTTGACGGATTTTAACGAAATTTGGTACAATTATTCTCATACACATGGGCAGCTTTACTTTTCATCACGCTACGATCAATAGGAGCAGAGCAGTGAAGGGAAATGTTGGGAAATCGGGAGAAGTTACTCCATTTTTAAGCTTTCGTCGCGTGTGCAGCCTTAATGGCCACTTTTTAAAATGTCTACCCGTCTGAAGTCGAGACGGGCCGCTAGTCAATACTATTTTTAATAAGATGTGATACAAATGCGACCTTATCGCTAGGCAATCTCTAGACAACCTTTGGGTAGAGGACATTGTGAAAAAAGACAAAGGGTAACATTATTATATACATATTAACACATATACATACTCTATAGCACACATATAACAGGAAAGAATGATGGAGGAAGATGAAGAAAGAACACAGGAAAATAGTACTAAAGGGAGAGAGTAGGACTTAACAGAGGTTTTGAAGCTAGTGAGAGATTTACTAGTTTTTATTCTTATGATATTATTATAAGTAAGTACCGATCCTTGTCAACAGACGTGATGTGATGAAGACACTAGAAGTTTTAATTATAAAGGTATTTCAAATTAAAAAGACAAGATGGAAAAAATAAACAACTATAATAAAAATACAATACGTAAATGTACCTAAGCGATTAAAAAAGTATCTCTTGTTTATTAAGTAGGTATACCATATGCAAAAGCTTCAAGTTACTCAGCGAGCTATGGAGAGAACTAGGCTTGGAGTTTCTTTACTTGACAGAATCCATAATGAGGGTACCCGTCCAAGTACCAAAGTAACTGACATAGCCCGAAGGATAAGCACGCTGAAGTGGCAATGGGCTGGTCACACAGTTCGAAGAACCGACAACTGATAGCGAAGAATGGTTCTTGAGTAGCGACCTCGTGATACAAGCGTAGTATAGGTTAAGTCTCCATTACATGGTGTGACGACCTCAAATGCATTGCGGGGAGCCAGAGGAAGTAGGTGGCTTGGGACCATTCCTTATGCATTCTATGGGGGAGGCCTATATTCAGTAGTGGACAGATAATGGCTAATATAACGATGTAATCTGGAGATATAGCTATTTAGGGCTTTATTTTAGGGTTTCATAAATGTTTATAAATATGACATATTTAGATTTGTCCCAAATGTGGGAGTGTTATCGACATATAAATATTATATGTGGAACACTAAATCATGATATATTGCACTATAGAACAAATAAAGCGGCCATACTGTCAAAAACCACAGACATGTGTCAAAAACTTTTATCGTCTTTTTTGTGACTATTACGTCCATTTGTAGTCTATGACACAGATAATATAACTCTATACTAATATCCACGCCAATAGGGTTCTCTAGCGATTTAATGGATTCTTAGCAGGTAAGTAGATCAAACTGACAGTATTCGAAGGTTATGAAAATAAAAAATATACCTTGTTCACAATTTTTTTTTGTAATATGAGGTAGATTTACACATTAGTAATTATGAAAATTTGTGTTTGCCTATGTTTGCCTCCACGTCAGTAACATTATCCAAAATCAACCACTCAAATTAGGCACAACAAAAAAAAAAGAAGTAAAAAGACCATAATTTCGCAACAAAGCCAACCCTGAGACATCAGTGCATTATAAAATGATACATCGATACGCCATCTTACCGCTCACTCCCCGCCATTGGTCAGCAATAAAACTGCGCGGGAATCGCTTTGCGAACTCAGTTGTGTCGCGCGGACGGTGCTGCCAACAGAAAAAAAAGCGGGAATTTATTTTTTTTATACTCCGCACTCGTAAGGTGTTGGTTAAGATGAAATACCTGGTTGTATTCGCCGTTTTTGCTCTGGCGCTGGCCGCCGAAGAAGCTAAGGAAGAGGAAAGGCCAAAAACTTTCAGACGGCTTATTCCTGCTGATATTCTGAGAGGTCAGTGTTTTGTGTGAAAAGAAGAGAGAGAAAGGGAGAGTAATGGAGAAATGTCCGAAAGGGGCAGTGTTTTTTAATATAATTTCTTTTAATAAATATCCCGAAATTTATAATAGTTCCTATATTTGCATAATAATATTTCCATTTTAAATAGTTTTTTTTTATGCTATTGACAATGGTCATATACCCACACAACCACGATTCAAATGTGTATCTGAAATTTATTTTAAAATTAAAAGATAAATGTTATACCAAAATAAATTAAAACATTTTAAGTCATAGGATTTGGTGTTAACGACCCAGCTGAAAATTATTATAAAAATTACCCTACATTGAATTTCTTTGTGAATATTTTATGCATTTTAATGCCATTATTATTAATTAATTACTTTTTATATTAGATTAGATTAAAGTAATTTATTAATTAAAAGTAATTGATTAAAGATATTTTTTTAGACATTTAAAGTAACAAATTATTATTGAACAGAGACGAATTCAATATATTGTTTTTAACATACACATTTTATGAGTGTAACCTATTACTTGAAAAGGTAGTACAAAATTTTTATGCACCCTCTAAAATTCATTAGTCTTCATTTCGTAATACAATTCAAGTTATTTCATCAACATAGTTATTCATTAGCTTTGAAAACAATTATAATTAATACACCCTTGATAATTAAACAACATTGTTAATGATAGAGTTCCGTAATTAAAGTATATTTTGTATATTGAAATAATTATGATTTTTTTTTTCATTAAAAAATGTACCAACTTCCTTAATAAATATCTACTAATTATAATTTAATATACTCATATCTAACTAATTAATGTATTTTTTAGTGTTTATGACAAATTAGGTAGTACTTATATGTTTCTAAGGTTTAGGCATATATTTTCTTGTTTTTTTTTTTGATGGGTGAAAATGTTATGGCCTGCGCTAACGGGATACGCTGGCGGAGCACCAGTGAAGGGTGATAGATGAGAATGAAAACAGGCCAGTTAGCCCATTATGATGAATTCATCAGGAATTAACCATTATAGTTTCCAGGGAGAACCGCGAGGAGGTCGACCTGGTTGGGTATATTGCTAGCAATGGGATTCTCAGTCTCCATTACTAACAATCCCTTTCCCCCTGTGCCTCCATGTTGTTTCCTCTGGAAACCATCTTGTTTATTTTTTTATGGACTCGTCACTATAGGCCTGTTTCTTCTTCACCTATCACTTCTCACAGATGCCCAGTGTATACCGATAATGCAGGCAGGATTACCATTTCATTATCAGCCATTAAAAAATTATTAAGTAAATAATGGTGACTTTATAAAACAAGGATCATACCTGAACTGAACTATTTTACCTTTTTTAAATTAGCCCAATTTCCTTATAAGCAAACTGATCTTGAGGTATTTTTATGGGATAGAAATGGAATTAACCATTATAGTTTCCAGGGAGAACCACGAGGAGGTCGACCTGGTTGGGTATATTGCTAGCAATGGGATTCTCAGTTCCCCTATATTTTTTTATTATATTATTATTGTGTTAGTCATTACCTATCCGCTGCAGTACATAGTCCTTCGCCATAAGGGGAGTTTTGCCAGTAGTTGCCCCGTTTGGCAGGCGGATTGGCAACCGCTCTTAGCTTTTGTTGATGTTTTAAGAGGGACGCTGCTGCCCATCCCTCGATCAATAAGTTCTCTTAGTCGCCTCTTACGACATCCACCACGGTGGCTCATTCTATTCCGGGACCACATGGCCTATATTTTCTTATTGGTATTTGATTATTCAATTATTAAACAGAAGTTATTATAAGAAAAAAAGAAAGAAAGAAATTATAGATAAGTTTCAAATTTATTTTTATATGAATACATTATATCGCGAGAGAATTAAATAATTGAAATTTAATTAAAAGACGTGTATTCAAGACTTCATATCAGCCCTTAACCGTCCACTGCTGAACATAAGCTTTCCCCTTGGGGGGGTTTTGCCAGTAGTTGCCATGCTCGGCAAGCGGATTAGTAACCGCAATCAGACTTTACAGACATTTTAATTCTTCTTAACTAAGTAATATTGCGTTCCTATTTTATATAAACACATATAGATATATATCAATATCTAACTTGACATTAACAATAAATTGACTCGAGACAGATTGAGCTTAAGGCTAATGGCTAAATCACAATAATATTAAATTGAGATCTAGATTAGAGCGTTAATAAAACCGGTTGTAACTGGATTGATCTTTAGTCTAGGTATATTGCTACATGATTATTTTGCAAGTAGGTTGTACTTTATTTCAAAGCGTGGGTTAGATTATATTTGTGAAGTTCAAACAGCTCTATATATATTATTTATTGTATTATTATTATTATGCATTCATGTACATAATATAGAGTTGTTACAATATTCTTATGAAGAGTAACTACACGAACCCTGTTTGGGTGTAGCTAAATTATATTGATAGATAGCTAACATACATGCATTAATGTCAATTTACAAGTTAGATATATGCCTAAATAGAAGAGATAGTTAATCTAGATATATACTTAGAGATAAGTAATTAAATATATATATATATATATATATATATATATATATATATATTTAAAGATAAAAAAATTCCTTGAGATCACTGCCAGCTAGTAGGGTGCCTAGGATACTTGCTGCATTTCCACGCTGAATAGCAATGGAAATGCGTTGACCAAAGTATAGGCCAGCCTTCTGGTCACCAGAGGTTTCCACCAGCCGGCGTGAAATGTCTTTGAAAAGATGGCCTGGGGGCCCCACGGACCCAGAGTTTCAACTCCAAACGCCGCAAATATATGGTATATCCATTTCCAAGGGATGAATATTTACGGCGCTTGATAGACTCCTGGTGTGTTGCGTTAGATTATATTTAATTATTTTACATATAATTGCACTTTTTTTAAATTAATTGATTTGTCTTGCAATAATTTCTATTTACATTAAATAAATGAACAACAATTTAAAATATCATTTTTATATATTTATCATATAAAAATAAATTGACGTCAGTCTGATTATTTAGATATATAATATTTATGACAATCTGATTAATTATTTGCAAGTCATGTGTGATTTATGTAAAAATGTGTCAAAATCTAATTTAATTTTAATATTAGCTTATTATCTTTCTACCCTTGTTCCAACTTTTATTTGGGGTTGTCGTAATATGTTTTTCCCTTCTATTCTTCTTTATTCGCAGTCACTTCTGCATTCACACCCATTCTGGCCATATCATCGTTCAAACAGTCCATTCATGTACTTTTAGGTATTAATTTTAATTAATGAATTAGATATTAAAATCGATTAAATTATATTTTGAAAAAAGTTTATGAATTTCTGTAAGTAATAAAACAGACTTATGGCTTACATGCAATAGGGATTTACTATTTCATTCAATTATTTTCATTCAAGTTTTATGTAATGACATATCTCAGAATTAATAATTAATTCATATATTATAAATATTAGCATTTAGGTCACGATTAAAGTCAACAATTACTGTTTTCATCATATGAGTCGTTAACTGTTCACTGCTGATTATGGCCTTCTCCCATAAGGGGGTAAGGCGAGTTGGCAAACGCAGTTAGACATTTGGTAATGTTATAAGAGGGACGCTGTTGGCCAGCCCTTGATAATGAAGTTCCCTTATCCTTTCCAGTAGATGTGGTAAGAGCCATAAGTTTCCTTATGTCTCTTACCACATCTACTAGAAAGGAAGTGGTGGCCCATTCCATGCCGGGACCACACTACACGGCATGGGGTTATCCTATTTCATTTTCAAAATAGAGTTTAGTATGTAAATCACAATTATTTTTTAATCTTAACTAAACTTTTGGAAATATAACACAACTATTATAAAATTATAAATCTATACTTACAGTTAGTGATGCTATATTAAAAATTTTAAATGAAATTTCACTCTTATTTGATTTTATCGGCGTCCCAAGCGTAGGAGAAGTTTGTACAGACAAAATGCAATTCACGAATGTTCTAAAATGGCGTGCAATAATTTCATAGAAATAAACAAGCGAGAAACACGAAAGCTCTCACGTATTCAGCCACTTTCACGGGTTGGTCCGATTGTTGTTGCACTTTCGCGCTCCTACAGTGACCTTATTGAAAAGTTTCGCCGAAATATTCTTCTGTTCAGTCAGTTGAATTAAATTAGAGTAATTTAATATTAGTTTGTTAAATGTTACACAGTTCAGAGTATCTTGTATTTTCAATTTATGAAATCACATTGAGTGTCAATCATCAAGTTATTGTTTTTGATGATCTTTCTACTTGGTTTCCTGAGGTATTTATTGGTAGTTAAGTATTGTATTTGAAGCAATGGGATTCCTAAGTTTACAGTACAAAAGTTCCTAAAGAAAATGAGTTCATCATATTCTTTATTAGATTAACCCATTCTTGTTCACGATATTTATAACGGAGTTATTTTTGTATTTTTTTTTTTGTTTTTTACGAGAATATATTTTAATAAAATATCTAAATTTAATTTTTATGCATGACATTCAAGTTAAAAGTCTCGTACAGATAGAAAAAAGGAGGTTTTGCTTACTGTATAGACTTCTTTTTTTCTTGGTGGTAAAAATCGTTAATAAAATCAATTTTGCAATTGAGTTGGTAATTTTTTTTTATAATTTTGGATTAAAACATTTACGTGGGTAAGACAATAACGAGAATGTGACAACCCTATGTAAACCTTTAGAGCGTTTTACCTGAGATCACCTAGATAGATTGACATAACATTTAGTTAATGCTATTATTTAAACAAATAGGTCTCATTATACATTACTACATAAATACGGCTGTGGTTTAACTATAAACATGATTCGTGGTGTCATTGACAGATTCATGGTCCAATAATCTCTCTATGTTATAATAGAATATTTAGGGTTGCCACTTTAGAATATAAAACTTTTAACGTAAGTAACAATATTATTAATTGCAAATCATTTGTTAATATAAATGCA